TATATATATATATATATATATATATATATATAATTTGAGTCTGATATTAGCGTGGGGATAATCACAATTCCTGTTTATTCTCCTGAATGGTAACCATGTTTTTGTCTTCTAAACTTTAAGCCAAAAAAAAACCTTCCCTGTATGGTGCGCCTTTGACTTGCAGTCTGCGTTGTGTTTATCGGCATTTAGCACTAATGCTCCACGCAGCTCTGAGCTAAAAGCCACAGTTTCGCTTCAACTTCCCGCCTCTCGATTGGTCGAGAATGGTCAGCTGACGTTGTCATATTGTCTCTCACTGAGCCAAGCCTCGGCTATAACACTCTGGTTTTTTTTTTTTTTTTTTTTTTTGCGTCTTAACCGGAGATTGGAAATTAATAATATTCAATCCTCAAAAGTAGCCCCGCATCCACGGAGGAGAGGCAGCAACTCGAGAGGGGGGATATACGGGCGATTTTTGGGGAGGAAGGTGTGGTTGGTTGACTTGACACAGGCGGGAGGGAGATTTACTGGAGAAGGAAGATTGAAAAGAGACCCGATAAAGAAGTGGGGAAGAGTTGGAGAGAAGGGTTACAGGCAAGGTATGAATTCTTATTTCGCAAACCCGTCGCTCTCCTGCCATTTGTCCGGTGGTCAAGAGGTTCTGCCCAACGTCCCCCTAAACTCCACCACCTATGACACAGTCAGACATTTTTCGTCGTACGGCGCCGCTGTGACCCAGAATCGGATATATGCCCCTTTCTATTCCCCTCAGGAGAATGTGGTGTTCGGCTCCGGCAGGGCGCAGTATGAGTATGGATCCAACGTGTTCCTCCAGGATAAAGACGTCCTGCCAAGCTGCAGGCAGACAAACATGGGACTCGGCTCGCAGAGCCACATTGCCCAGGAGTACAGTCTGGATCAGGGGAGGGCAGGAGCCCAGGAGCAGAAGAGCAATATTCCGATCTACCCGTGGATGCAGCGCATGAACTCACACAGCGGTGAGTTTTACTACGACCAAATAAATTAGGGAAATGGGCCAGTTTTACGATATGTCTTACCAAGAGAGTAAGTTACTTTTTATGGCCCCATAAAACATTACTGTATCTGCTCGACTTGTGAGATGGGCCTTACCATGTGCAAATAAACAGCTTTGATTTTGATATTGTTGTAGTGATAATAATCGATGACTTGGGGCAAAGAAATATTGCTAAAATCATTTTGTAATTTTGCATTTGAAAATATGAAATAATTCTATACACTGTCGGCTAAAATTTAATAACATTTTTTGCTATTTTAGACAAAAATTCTGGCCATATTTTTTTACTTGTAATGTATAATTTTATATTCAGGGATAAAATAATTGCCTTTTACTTTGTGCTCCAGCAGGAGTTGGCTACGGGACAGATAGACGCAGAGGACGTCAGATCTACTCTCGCTACCAAACACTGGAACTGGAGAAAGAGTTCCACTTCAACCGCTACCTGACCAGGCGCAGACGCATAGAGATCGCCAACGCGCTGTGCTTGACAGAGCGGCAGATCAAGATCTGGTTCCAGAACCGGCGCATGAAATGGAAGAAGGAGAGCAACCTGACCTCCACGGTGACTGGAAGTGAACAGACAGGAGCTGCTCAGGAGGAGGAACGGAGTGGAAGCGCAGTGGAAGAAGGGAAGGATGAACACAAGAAAAAGGAATAGCTGGAAAGTATTGCGCACATGTGTGCGTGGAAGTGGAGAGGAGGAGGTCATTTCTTGACCATGAAAGTCCAACATAACTACCTATAAAAAAAATCTATGAAGACTTGACTTTACTGCATGATGGTTATACCCGCTGCTCTTTAACTCATCTTGACCACAGCAGCTGTGGAGCACTAAATATTCAAAACATTATTCCATCAAAGATTGGTCTCTGTGACATTTGGAGCACTGAGGTGTTTGTTTGATCAATAATAATAATATCAATGTCTCAAATGTATTGTGAAAATAATAAAAACAAGAAGTGTTATTTTCCTGGGTTCTTTTTCCCAAACACCAGGCAAAAAGTCTGTATTTACCCACAGCCAATTCCTCACTGTGAACTCTTTAATCACCTCACCAAATACAGTGTTGGTTTGACTTTGCTCATTGTTGTACATGCACATTCCACGGCGTTCCACGGAACACAATGTAAACTAGTACTTGAATTGTCCACGTATTAAAAAAAGAGAAAAAAAATAAGTTGCACGGTCAACTGATGAGCTTGTATATATCAAATAAAAGAAGCATAACTACATATTATGCAAATCCCGTGCTGTGCATTTAGCCGCTTGGTTATGGCGCAGCATACCGTCAAAGAAAAGCGCCACTTCTTTTTAAATCATTTGACAATATGCATTTTTTTGTTGTGAAACAGATTTGTACACTAGTAATTCTTCACTTTTTTGAGTGTTATGATTTTTTGTTTTGTCATATTTGTGTATCAGTGAATAAAATCTTTAGCCTATAACTCTCGTCTTGTTGCTTCGATCATTACTTTGTTCTAACAATCAAATGCGGTCTACTGGGCATGTTTTCCAAGTTTATCACAACAAAAAAATAGAATCCTATTTTCTAGGTGCAAAGAAATCTTTATAATAAGTTAATATGAGGGTTTTGGAGCATTACAGTGGGAACAGAAAAACAATGGTGACTAAACACTCTTCAGCTTTCGTAATTTAATGTTTTCACGTTGAGGGGGAACAGAAATACTTTTCTTATTGTAGTTTTTCAAGTATATTATTTTAGATATTGTTTATATATATATATATATATATATATATATATATATATATATATATATATATATATAGATTAATGTATTAATGTATTATTATTATGATCAGTTACAGTATTAGTATTATTAAACTAAAGTAATTTATGTACAAAGCAAACGACTTCTTTTTTTTATATTATTATATTATATATTATTATATATATTTTCAACATTCTCTTCCCTTGGACTTTAAAACGCGTCCCTGGCGCACGTCCTGACACGTCCTGCTCCATTCCAGACACCAGATGACGCTCTTGTCTTTCTGTCCTGGCTTTTTGCGTTAAAGATCCCCCTTGCATGGTCCCCAACAACCAAACAGCTCAAAGTTTACCGGACACGTTTCTCCTATTCATCAATATCCCCATTGAGTATCAAGCCAATTTATGACTGGCCAACACATGCACGTGATCGCATACAAATACCCCATATTTGGGCAGTGCGCTCCGGATCAAGAATTAAAAAAAAGAGAGAAAAGATACCAAAGCCTACTCCACCTATAAATCCTGGATTATTTTTTTCCTCTTCTTTGGGATAGACAGTTGTGAATTTTCCATTAGAAGCCTACAAAGAAAAAGCAATGATCATCAAAAAGAAGGAAATACCCGCAACCCTCATCTTGTGTGCTGTTTGAATAGAAACTGTGGGTGGGTTGAATTAGTTCTGAAATGAACTCTCGTGTTGAGTACTCCAATTTTGGACAAACAAGCAAGAAAACTTCTGCTAACAGCATGTTTACTTTCGATGCATCTGGGCGCACGTCCAGCCGTTGTGAGGGTGCTAACGTGAACGGGATTTACTCCTATCCCGTCCCCACGACCTCTGCGCAACGGGAGGAGATCAGAACTAGGCTGCGTGGCAACACGGATACTCTGCTCCCTCCCGGAACACAGATAGGCATGCTCTCCAGCGTTTCCCCCGTAGAGGAGAGTGGACTCGGCTACGGACGAGGCGCGGACAGAGACCCGGAAAGAAGCGCAAAACTCGGAGGTAACAGGAGCCAGGAGGGCAGCCAAAAAGCGGAAAGCGCACAGACAGTGAAAACAAACGCAAATGCGCACCAGCTTCAGGATAGTGAACAGCGGCCGCAGATTTATCCCTGGATGACAAAACTGCACATGAGCCACGGTAAAGTTTTCCTGTTTTATTAAAGGCAAGAAAAGTGCGAATATGATGTTCACTCTTAACGCAACAACACTTGGTTTCGCTCGCTCTAGTGTCCCTCTTGAGTTTTATAGGCCAAAAGCAGGAAATAATAAAAACTCGTGGTCATAAATTTTATGACAAAGGCATGTATTGCTCGTAAACCTGCTCTGTTACGGTGAAGGGGTGATCTGTGCTGTGATTTATGGTGAAATAATTGGATAAGAGAACAAATATATGAAAAAAACATTGAAATTATGTTACAAATCCGACTATGTAATAGTTATTGCGGAGTTTCTGCTTCTCCCTACATGCTTTTAAATTTTCAGTGTTCCTTGGGGAGGAAGACAAAAAGCTTTAGCCTTTAATTGAACTCTGGGCCACACCAATGTCCTGACCCAATTCTGAACTCTTCACCTCTGAGAGATTTGAATAGACATGCTTTCTTCATGCCTCCAAACCTATAGCTGCTGACAATTTAGCTGCAGAGAAAACTGTAAATGCATTAGCTACAAAACAAGAAGCAAGACTGGATATGTGTTTGTTCACTTTGCAAATGCATGCACAGAAAACACGCAGCAGGGATGTTGGATTAATCTAAATATCCAGCGGCTGCAGGCCTGTTGCTTTACATAGCGAGGCTGTGCAAGTCTATAAATAGGAAAACAATTGGAAAACACCATTTTGCATAATATTAAATGCTACTTTTATGACTTATGTTGGTCTCGCTTCAGGATGATTTATTTCCCTACTAGTAGCGGTTTCATACCTTACAGGGAGGCCCAGAGATTGTAAGTTATCTGATTAATTCATAGGTGTTAGAAGTGATTTACTGAGCTACAATTTTGTTTTCAAATTTTAAACAATTAAGATGATTATATTAATAAAATTTAGTTTTTTTTAGTATCTTCGGCTTTTTTTCTTGTTATATAATTTCTATAGAGCAAATCCAACAATATATCAATAGAAATAAATGAAGTTTATTGAGGAGAGGGCCTCAATAACTATAGCTTTTCCATATTTGTACACATTATAACCAAAGCTTAATTTGTTGCAATAATTTGTGCAATATAATGTTGCTGAAAGCTGACATATTCTAATACTGCTTCAGAATCGGAGGGTAAGCGTTCCCGGACCAGTTACACCCGCTACCAGACTCTGGAGCTGGAGAAAGAGTTTCACTTCAACCGCTACCTGAGCCGCCGCAGGCGCATAGAGATCGCCAACAGTCTGTGCCTAAACGAGAGGCAGATCAAAATCTGGTTCCAGAACAGAAGGATGAAATGGAAGAAGGACTCAAAGATCAAAGTAAAGGAGTAAAACAGGCGATGCAGCACTTTTTTTTCAACAGCCCTACACTTGCACAGCAGTGCTGGAGTTGCTCGCTTGACCTACGGATGAACCGCTAAGGAGCAATGACATCATGACACGGCTCTGTGTGCTTCATCACCAATTATGTGTCACTTTCTGCGGTTTGGAACCTAATGTATTGAATATCGCTCACTATGATCAATCGGTTTACATTTCTAAATTAATTTGCTGCCTATGCGATGATAACCCCACTTTACTGCGCAAAAAGCTGGGCTCTGGCGGGAGCTGGGTCCTTCAAGGCTTTTGACCCGCATTGCGCTTGAAAAAGCTGCACAACGTTATTAATATGTGTTCATAGTATAGGGGACAGAGTAATGACTGAGAGTTCATCATTTCCAACTTCTTAAGCGTGTAATTAAAAAGTAAGGTCCATGAGTAAAAAAAATAAAATAAAATTGGTTAGGTTGAAACCTGTTTTCCTTCTTCGTCAAATAAATCAGGATTTTGTCTGATGTGTTTAGTGTGCAGTTTGTCATCCATGTTGTCTGTCATAACCTTGTGAGTGTGTTTGATAACACTGAAATGTGCAATGCAGCATTATTTGTTTCCCATAGTAAACTACAGGTGCCTGATGCACACAAGGCCTGATTGATGGCCAGTTTGTTGATTGTAACCAATAAAATCATTAAAAATAAGACACTTTTTTGTGAGTATTATTTTTCTCTTAATATCTGAGATCCATTGCAAAAAATAGTTACGTACTTCAGACATTTTTTTCTTCACATTTTGTCCACTGAATAAAAATGTAACTCTCATTTTTCAAATGAAATTTTGTTTGTTTTGTTAGGTATTCTCAGAGACCCCAGAATTTCTCTGGTTGACAAACGCGCTCTGAAGTTTAAGGCCCCCCTCATAAAACTTTATTGCCCCCTTTTCCAGCACTCTGCAGGAACACTCGGCTTCCTGTTTTGTCAGGGGATGAGGAAGGGCCACACCAGCCTGTTAGAACAACACAACAGTGGATGCAAAGCTCGGCTTCCTGTGGCCGCACACAGACACTTCTTTGGGGGCATATGGTCAGACCTGCTTCAACCCTGTTTCATTACATTATAGTTAAAATACCACTTAGCAGCATTTGATGTCTCAGTTCAAGTGATGCAGCGTATCCTGAGAGGCAATCCCCATCTTTACTTAAATAAAATAAAAAAGCCAACTCACCTTTAAAACTAACAGCCTCCTGTATGATCTCCCCTTATTTGAACCGGTCTACTGCAGCGTCCACTTTCTCTGCGCTCTGTTGGGGCCTATAAACCTTAACGTGAGAGCATGCATTCAAGCTTTCTTTTTGGGGATTTTAAAGTTTACAAGGTTACAAATGCCAATTGCCCCAAGCAGGGCCTGTGAATGGTGCGTGAGAAGCACGTGGTGTCGTTTAAGTGGGTTTTATGGCCTGGAAGAGCTGACAAACCTTCGATATATACACATCATATATAATCTTAACTGTCCGGAATCGCAGCTGCTGGCTTCCCCCTTATCGGAGTAGGAAAGGGCTTTGTGGTAGTGGCAGAGGATGCAGTACCTTTCTCCGGACTGTGGAGCGGAGCGAAGGGCTGAGACCTGCTGCTGCAGTAAGTTATTTCAACTTTACATACTGCTTCGGGTTTGTGCAGTCATATCGCTCAAAATATTCTTTTTTTTTGTGCGCGCGCGTGTGTGTGATTGAGTTACTTTGAACGCATGGATTGACAATATAAACATAACTGAATTACCTGATGACGACTCAGCGGAGCTGTGATTCAATACCAAAGATTAGAAAATGCTCGCCGGTTTATGTTTTCAAAATGATTTTTGAAACAAATACGAGTGTGTTAAAAATAACATCAGAGCAAGAGCTTTTAAGTTCTTACGTTGCCCTCTACATCTGCTCGCAATATTCCCATGCAAATGTTAACTTGAACATGTCTGTTTAATTTAAATTAAAAAATCTTGAAACTTTGATAAAATGAAGCAGTGCTGTGGAAAAAAACAAGTATTTTCCCTATGTTTATGTTTAAATGGCGTTAGGATCTTTATTTTTAAAAATTAGGAATAAGAGAGAAGATCCACTTTAGTGCTAAATATCACTGTCAACAATTTTAAAGTTGATCTTGTTCTCTATGTCTGAAGTATAACATGAAGTGGAGGATCAGCACACAATCATTTTGAGGAGCAAGGTTAAATTTGCTGCTTCATTATACTTCGTAGTAGAGAAAATAAAATAAAAATCGCTATAATTAATTTCCACACTTCATGTTACAGTTGCATCACGTTCATAAACCTTCAACTAAAGCCAAGAATAAAAGTCTATTTCATTTCAAGATAGGGCTAAATGTGATTAAAGCTAATTATTCCTCTACATTAATTTGTTATTGCAATAAATACAACAAAATAATGTCAAGAGAATATGCAGCAGATAACAACACAGAATGCTGCAGTTTTATTGTAAAAAACAGAAAAACACATACTGCATCCTGCGCACTAATCCGCCCACAGACACATCCACTCAATACATAAAATTTCGTGAGGAGAAATATCTGTAGCATGATTTAAAAATTGTATCAATTTAGATTGAACTGTGTAGCAAATTAGGGGCTAATTATCCAAAAAGATGCATGATAATTGTACTGTTGTTTAGCATGCTGCAGTCGTTTTAGGGAGAATGGGCGTTGTTGTTGGGTTTTTTCACCTTGTCACAGCGGTCTTTTGTGTGTCACGGCCGTTTTCTCACCATACAGGTTCTCGGATCTCATTTTTAGTAACACAGTTTGACTGTGAACTGAAAAAAGAATAAATATTTGCACATTTCCCACCATTTTTAACCACATACAAAAAACCCATACCAGTTTGATTAGCTTGAAAACTAATGAGACAATGCCTTCTTATGACCTTAATAGTTTTCTGTTGCTCTGTTGGAGACATCATTTAATCACCCATATGCCTAGGCAAACAGCTCCGCCTACAGAAACAGCTTCCTCTACTCCTAATCAATGTGTGGAGGTGCTATTATTTCACATCAGAGCTCAAATTGATTAGTTTTCACATTTACAGGATGCTGTGGTTACAGATACTTTTTCAGGTCTGTTTTGGTTGCCGTTGTATTAAATGTGTTGCGGTGGCTGAGCCGAATATACCTTATTTCCATTTCTGAAGGTACATTTTGCTTTCAGGTGTGCAGGGTCAACTGTGCTATTTCAATAGGGGGCACTGTGTAACATATACTCCCGTGTGAGTGTGGCTGTGCAGGGGGCATTCGAAATGTTTTGTTCCCTGTGTTGTTTTGGTAAAAAATTTATCATTTAGAAAATGTCCAGAAAAATTTGCATTAGAAAAAGAATTTGCAAAGGAGTGGGCTTCCGTTTTCCTAAAATAAATATTTTGTTATCTCTCGTACACCTCAAATATACTGTATACACATTCTAGGTATATAAAGCGTTTTTTATTTGAAGGGATTCTTGAATAAAGGCTAGGTGCTAGAGGGAAAAAAAAGTTTCAAATCTTCATTTTGAAAGTGAAACTGGTCTGAATATTCGCTTTCACTGCCATGTTCTGGGCTGGTGTATTCCTTTCTCTGACCTGTGGAACCGACACTGTCATCCTTCAATCCGCAGAGGTCATTTCCGGGTGAGCACAGACTTCCCTTTGTCTGGAACTCGAAAAAGAGTCAGATATCTCAATTGCAAAATTTCAGAGCAGAGACTGATTTTATTTACAATGTGAAGACAAAGTCGTGTTTCTTTTTTATTGACTGTTCGCCATAATTCAGAGGCGCTGAAGTCCAGGCAATTCTATTCATAGTAGCTCTTGCCCAAGGAAATGCCAAATTGCTTGTAAAGTTTTGTTTTATCGTCTGAAAACGATCTGTCTTAAATCCTTTTCAAGGTCTCTATTCTGCAGGAATTCAAACATTGCGCATTTTTTGCACAGTCTCCCTTCAGAAATGCGTGAATATTAAACAAAATGTTGTAATAAAAAATAGTAGTTGAAAATAAGTGCGAAACTAAATTAATTTGTAAATTAAAGTTTGACATGGTTTGTTTTCAGTGATTTTATTACGTTTGATATCTACAATTCTATCGGTTTTTATTATGAAGATTATTAACATTTATCTCATAATTTCCACATAAAGATCAAACTTTTACAACAAGACTTTTACATCTATCTAATAACTTTCCAAATTAACCTACCATTATAATAGTTAAAATAGAGAGAAATAAAATATAAATATTTAAAAAAAATGCTTACTACAACATCCCTGATAGAATAATTATTTAATGTTGTAATAAAGATCAGTGTGGCATTTTCCTGAATATATTTTTAACAATTTATTATGTTTATATGCAAGTTATGAAAAACTCAAAATCTCCCATGAATCATTCGTATGTAAAAATATTTCTTTTTGTGCTTTGTTTCAGACTGTTCACTGGGTCAAAATGAGAGCAACTGTGGATGTTAAAGTAAGTCTCCTCGTTTGATTTCAGGTCAAAACTGTATCTTAACAGAAACATCTGTCATTTGGCTGAGGGCAAACAAATGTTCGATCAGAGTTTTATGATGCCTGAAAGTTTAATGAGTTCAGATTTTTGTATTTATGTTTATCATTCCTATTTAGATTGGCTTATATTTTCGTTGTTTTTTGTGTTTTTTTTAGACATATAAACAAGGGTTTTATACACCACAGTACAATGAAAGGCACTTCCAGTAGCCTACATGTTGTTTCTATTTAAAGCAGAGGTAGGATGTTTTGTTGCAGCGGAGGCTGTGTTTATTATAATATTACAATTATTCTAATGAGCCATAGTACCGCAGTGGTTTATGTTGGGGAATCCAGTTTCTAAAAATCACCTTTGCTCCCCTGGCGGTCGCTTTATACCAGCATTCACAGCCAACTGGTCTCCAGTCTGTCTGCACTTCATTAAAACTTTTTATTTTAACTGGACCATCCCGCCTAATGTTATTACACCTGGGGAAGGTAAACGCGTGGAGGCCATTACATTAAGGGTTTGATTAAAAGCGCATCGTAACCATTTTCATTAGGGAGCGAGATATTGCTGCAGTCTCTAAATTCAGGTCAAACAACTGGACAGTGAATGTGAAAAAAAGGATGAAGGACCTGCAGAATTTTGATGAATTCTGTTTACATGCATACTTGTGTGAACACGCGTGTAAAAGGGTTGTTTTTCGGGGGGAGTTGGGGGGGGGGGGGGGGGGGGGGGGGGTAGTGGTGGTGCAGAAATCTTAACAATCCCTCAAATGAATAAATGAAACATCAAATTAATCCGCCTGAGGGTCTCATTTTTTTGTACTTCTACATTATAACTAGTTATTGAACTAGGTGCACGATCTGAAAGCCATTTGTGAGGAGAGAAAGAATTCATTGCTGTCTCTCCATCAATAATCCTTGGCAGTGAACTATTGGAAGCAGTCAAACGCGAGGGGTGAAACGCGGGTCAGGCTGTCTAACTAATATTAAAATGCGCTCGCCATGAGCACATGGGGCGAGAGGGAGTGCGTGGTGCTCACATTGGCTGGGTGCACCACAAAATCATGTGTTTAGATGAAAACTCGACGCAGCCAAATGGGCACGCTTTCTTATTGTTTTATCTTATGAGGAACTCAGTTTTATTGATTGATAAAAAATGGGAATATACTTTAAAATATGCTAATGAAGTTGTGTTTTTATACTCACTTTGTGCTTTTCTTTTGCGATTAGTTCAATTGATTCTCAATCTGAGAATGTTTGCTGTTTTTAATAACCCCCCCGAAACAGGTCACATGTCCAACGTTGCATTTTTCATCCAAGGATTTTCTCATTAGCTTCTATGGTGTCAGAAGGAAAGGTTACCGAGCGGTCAGTATGGTAATGGCGAGTAGAAGAAATGGTTGGGAACAATAGAAACTTATTTTTCATCTGCTCCTGTCACGCCGTCCTTTTGTATTCTCCGTGTTTGTGGCTGAATATTCATATAGGAGCCACCTCAATGCAGAATGCAGAGAAAGGAGAGCCTCTGTATTCCCTGTGTAAGCGTATACACGCGTGTGTGGGGGTGTTTGTGTGTGTAGATTGTTTTCAGGGCGGAAAACAAAAAACAAAAAAATAAAAAAACAAACAAATAGCTTTGTGCGTTGCTTCCCACAGATGAAAAGCATCAGCTTTTACGCACGCTTTATGTGATTGTTCTGCTCAATTGCCGTATTGAAATATATCTGACAAAGCATGCCTCATTTATAACCTGCTTGCACCGATGTTTGCTCAACAGTTCTTCTCTCCAGCCCCAATCTGAAAGCACATTAGTTGTCTATATGTACCCTGTAGAACCGAATTTGCGTGCTGCAAAAACAATCGCAAATACGTCTCTACAGGAATACATGGGCAACTGAAATACCACGCCAGGCAATGGATTGCACGTCACTCTTGTTCTCCTCTCTGTTCCCTTTTTCTTGCTTCTGCATATACAGGAAACATCAGCAATGATCCTTACGGCCGAGCAATGTAACATTGCAATAACGCTGTCACGGAGTGTATTCATTGTCCACACAGATCCGCACTTTGTAGAGTTAGCTGTAGAGGCCACAGAGTAAGGGAGTCCTGTAAGCAGTGCGCCGCTACTACTGTGTCAGAGCCTGTAAAACACGCCGGGAACCAGGGGTCGTTTAGAAGTGACTGATTTACGGCTTTTATTGCTCTATAAAACCCCTCTAACATCCTCGGTAGGGGTAATAGAAATGTCGTGCGCATTCTTTACAAACAGCACAGTCAGAGTTATGATATGCAGTTTTCACATCGTTTTTAAACTTATTATGTAATTATGGCTTTGGAAATAGATCCCCTGGCTTGCAGAGTAACCAAAATACTGACCTATATCTATTTTCAGTATCGACCTAAACCTATTATTATTATTATTATTATATTGGGAGTTGGAAGTTGTCTGAGAAGAATGGCATGCCAAGTTTACTCAGGCTTGCAGCATCAGTTTACAACATAAAAGGCGACCACAAGTCATGTGGCTCATGGTCAGAGCTTTACCCAGGATTAACAAACTAACAGCTGAGATGAAATATTACCTTATGCCAAACATTTAGATAGCTGAAGTAGGAGAATTAAATATGGTTTTACTATTTCAGCTCACTGTCATGTATGTTTAGTGATGTCATTTTACTTTACATCTCCCTTAATTTCTTGGTGAGTTATGAGGTTATGTGGTGTATTGTCTTAACTGTCATCGGGGATGAAAGTTATTTAATCACTATGTCTGGACTGTTGAGGTTCACATCATGCATAGTATAAAATGAGTCAAAAAGAGCAGGAAACAATACGCAAAGTACAGTTATGAGTCCTAAGATGTTTTTTTTTTATTACTCTAGGCTCCTGATTGCAGCTGTCTCACCTGCAAAACCACATTTAACCTAGCTAGATAGTCATTACAGGTAAATCAATGGTGTATATTGTTATGATACATAAAGTCATTGGGATTCTATTTCCCATGTTTCAATCATGCCTAACGTCTGACTTTATATTTATTACTGTCAATGCTGTATGCTGTGTGGAGCTGCAGTCTGGCTTTGTAGTTGAAAATTGTGAGGTTTGTTAAAATAGGTTTAATCTTATGTTTTGCAAAAAGTTGTGGTTGGTAGCTTGTTAGATCATTAGGAAGCAAACCTTCATATCATAAGTCCATATCATAAGTTTGTTTTGATGAAAATAGTAAACAATAGAGCATGAATGCTAAACACCTTGAAGACACTGTGCAGTGCACAGCAAAGCTTCCCTTGCAGCTTTGCAGGCCTACTTTTATGGCTTATCAAATCCAGTTTATTTCAGATCTGTAGAACCATTTTTAATTGAATTTGCCAAGACTATTTTAATTTTTCATCGTTGTTCTTCCTAATTTTAAAACATAAACCGATGCCTAATCATCTGGATTAATATCATATAGTTTTTGGGGGGAAAAAGACATGAAAGTGACAAGTGCAAAGTTTTCCTTCTTTTCTGTGTGGTGTCTCTTTTGTCACACTCTTATCCAGTTCCTATGAATGATCTGATTCATAGGAACATCTTCCAAGCATCTCACATCACCTGCACTGCAGTGAAACCAAAAAGCAATTAAAGATCTGAATTCATATAGCCTTTGCAGGAACTCTCAGAAGCTCGTATAAATCTTAAGAGCGTAACATTTGAACTAAAAAATGTACTGATGAATAAAAATAACAGCTGAGCAATAGTAACAGGGTTTTTATCAAGAAAGAAAGAGTTTTACAAATAGAGTAAAGATAAAAAGAATTGTGAGTGTTCTTTTTTGTTTTGAGGTGATTAAGGATATTATAACCAATTAAGGAGATTTGAGCTGGTGCTGATCACTGCAACAGTATGGCAGTATAGGGACATTTTGAGAGTTTGTGAAGCAGTTGAATGATAGAGAAGTTGCAAGAAGTATTCTATATTTTCCAATTGAATGCTATATTGTAAACTTTTGTGAGGTCCTAAGAAGTCTTTAATAGATTAAATACTTGGACAATACTTGCACAAGTACTAAATAGACACAGGTTATCTCTACTAAGTTTTCAATTACATTTTTACTGTCTTATTTGATTAAACACATGTTTTCTTCTATTTTCCTTTTATATTTGTTTGTTTGATGCTTAAATAATCATGTTGAAAACCTCTCATACCAGCAAGCTTCCATCTTATTGAAACTCTGCTTTATTTACCTACCAGCATTTCATATTCTTTATGAAAACATTTACTTAATAATCTTGATTGCCTTAAGATGTGGATGTTAGTATGCTGACTGTAATCATCATGAATTGTACATGCTGTAAATGCCTTTATGCTGTAGCATTACTTGCTTAGGTTTTGTAAGCAAGCTATATACTAAGTTATTATAAAAATAAGTGCAGATACTATTTTGTAATGATATACTAAAAGAACCTAAAAAGATTTAACCTCCATAATATTTCAGTATGGTTGCTTTTGTGGCGAATGCTGGTTATTTGCACGTGTTTGCTTTTAAAGCAGGTTAGATTCCCTCATGATTAAATAATGGTTTAAAAACAAACAGCAAAAAGCTGACCAATATACCTTGTTCATACCTTTAGTGACAAAATGAATATCAAGAGGATGTTTTCATTTTTCAAAAAGGTTCAGCTTGTGGCTTTAATGGCCTTTAGTCTGTGTCCCAGCTGAATTGACACTGATAAAGAAAGCACCTTCAATAATTTGCAGATAACCTTTATGCAAGGTCTGCAAGCTAAGAAAATTATCAGTACTCTTTTGTTTTGCTTTATCCTGGGCCAACCATTGTCCCTTTGAATAATTGGGAGCCACAGAATTTGCCAGTTTTATCTTTTTACTTGGTCAGCAGCTACTAGTTTTGTACCCAAGATCAATTGCCTTGGTAACAAAACCGGAGAGAGGGAGGAAGGGGGAAGAAGAGCAAAAAAAGGAGGGATAGAGAGACATAGGCGGAAAAGAGGAGAGAGAGCGCGCTTTGTGCCTACAATGGCGTCTGTAGGTATGCTAAATACCTCTGGTTCCTTATCCGGGAACTACCTCTTCCTCTGCTATTGGGCCATTGGGTCACGTGGTTAAAGTAACTTTACAGGGCTGCTCGCAAGTAGGAGGGCTTTATGGAGCAGAAAAACGACAAAGCTAGAAAAATTATTTTCCACTCCAGAAATTAATGATCATGAGCTCGTATTTGATGGAGTCTAACTACATTGATCCGAAATTTCCTCCATGCGAGGAATATTCGCAAAACAACTACATCCCCGAGCACAGTCCAGAATATTACAGCCGCGCAAGGGACACTGGCTACCAGCATCATCACCAGGAGTTATACCCTCCTCCGCGGGCGAGCTACCAAGAGCGCCAGTATAACTGTGCAAGCATCCCCGAGCCCGACACGCCGCGGGGACACGGAATACCCCATTCTGCGCACCTGCTGACGGGAAAGGGCCAGCCTGCGTCATGTGAGACCCCACAGTTGTCCATGTCCCCCGCCACCCCACCGGCCGCAGCTTCCGCCTGCAACCAAGCCACCCCGGAGCATCCCAACAGCACAGTCTCCTCCAAACAGCCCGTGGTGTACCCCTGGATGAAGAAAATTCACGTCAGCACTGGTAGGCAACTTGTGGTGTTTATGTTCCCCCTGCTCTGCTCATGCTCCTCTCTCCCCTTCTTCCCTCCCTTTATCAAGCCCCTCTGACTCCCATCTCGTTGCCAGCCCCTGCTCCGATAGCAGGGAAGCCTTTGAAATGGCACAATTGAGGCGGATTTACGACTCGGCATTGGTAATTACACCCACCATAAATTTTATAGCCGAGGTATACTCAGGGCAGCCGTATCACCATGTGGCTTCTGCTGTTATGTATTGCGAGATAGAGGGAGAGGGGGGAGAAATGAATAAGAGAAGAGAAGGGGAAGAAAAAAAAATCTGAGCTTTGTGATCTTGCATTAATAATTTAGATCATGGTTGGATGTGAGTGTCCTCTCATTATGCGGAGAAGTTCTTAACTTCCCATTTAAATTTCCTCAAACAGCTAAACATTCGTGTCCAATAAATCTTTTGAGCCATATCTCACTTTGTTTACCCCCTCCTTTTCTCCCTTCTCCTTCTACCCTTTCTCTCCACATCTCCCCCTTTTTTCCTCCCAGTGAACTCTGGTTACAATGGGACGGAGCCAAAGCGGTCTAGGACAGCGTACACCCGGCAGCAGGTCTTGGAATTGGAGAAGGAATTCCACTATAACCGGTATCTAACCCGGCGGAGACGCATAGAGATCGCGCACACCCTGGTGCTCTCTGAGCGACAGATTAAAATCTGGTTTCAGAACCGCAGGATGAAATGGAAAAAGGATCACAGGCTGCCGAACACCAAAGTGAGATCCTCCTCCTCTTCTTCCTCCTCCGGGTCCAACACAGGCTCTGCGGCCGGTGGAGTCACCACTGTCTCGGCCACCAACACTGGGGCCCCTGACGAACTCACCGGATCACAGCATGGCGAGGATATTACCAGGTTATAAAAACCACGAACCAGACACCTGGGTTACACGGAGAACTGGTTATTTATAGAACAAGGATATATTTTGTTTTCGTAGCTATCTTGTGCGGTTTCCTTAAGTCCAAAGTTATATAAAAATGCATGTTATATAGCATGGATTACTGCGAATACCGATGGTTTATTTTTTACGTGAAACAGGGTTTAATTTATTTGAAGTTCGTTTATTATGATGTTTTTTTTATTAAAATGAAGGAGTGAAAATAGAAAAAAAACAAAACAAAAAAACCAAAAACAAACATTTTATCAAAACGATATTGTGGGCAATTTTTTTGTCCAGCTGCCCAAGGTAAAATGCACAATCTATTTATTTCAAACGACACTGGAAGGATATCACTATAATAATAATTATTATTTTGATATATAAAAAAATGCTTGAACACGGCATTGGTTCTGAACATGTATGTTTAGGATATCAACAATGTGTGAATTTACCTCGTGTATTTCAGAAACAGGATTTTGATCTGAATTTTGAGTTGTTGTTTTATTATTATCATTATTATTTGTGGTGTTGATGTTGTGTTTAGACCGTTACAAAGCAGATTATTGTGAAATGCAATAAACGGAGTTTAGTGTTCTTGTGCTAATCATTTTGGTCAATAAAAAGTGAGTGTCTACTAGTTTTAAAAACGTATGATCGAAGTTCATTTTAGGCGAGATAAGATGGAAGGGTATTCAAAAACTGTACAAATGTCTAAATGATAAAACAGACTCACTTTTTCTGACTTTTCCCTCAGCCTTCAATTAACAGCGTGTAAAGATATGGAGGGTGCGCGTGTCTGTGTGTATGTTTGCAAACTGAATGCCTGTGTATTGTGTACAGCCTCACTTGTAATAGAATTTTCTCTTTCCAAAAAAATATGGAAAAATAAGCTGTTTGCTCCTTACATGTGGTGCAACCTCATCAGTCTGAAGGGCATTCAATTAGCGCTGCAGACAAGCTACTAAGGGCCCCCTCCAGTCCACTTGTGCACTGCTCTCTGCGAGTGCTACAAAATGAAGCCCAATTTGACTTCAAGGCCAAAATGCATGCTTTTAATTTAGAGCTTACATTTTTAATGTGTTAGAGCTGATAGATGCTTGTAACATAGCTATTTTGTAACGCACACAGTCGCCCTGCTTTTTCTATGCTGTTCATCTGCGCCATGTGACTGGGTTTTCACATGTGAAATAAATACAATTTAAACTAAAAAAAAAATAAAATAACTGATTGCAGATTCAGTGCAGTGCATGGTGTGGTGTGAAATAAATCACAGCGAAGATGCTGGCCTTTGATTGACCGACACTGGCCTGTGGTACGGGGAGGAGTGTTAATGGTCATTTACTTCTGCACCTACATGTGCCTGTATGTGCATAAGTAAAATACATCCAAATAAATATGAAATAAAAAAATAAACATAATATATATATACACAGTCCAGAACTTTTTACGTTTCATTAAACGTAATATTTTGTAGACGTGATCCTTCTTTTATTTTTTCTCATTGCATTTTTTTTTTTTTTTTTTGCTTTTTGTTATTTTTTGTTGTTCATGTTTTTAAGACAAATGAAGTTTGAGCATGACTCAAATCCAAAGAAGCGCGTGCATTTGATAGATTATTGAAACTGTGGCATGAATAGGTCCTATAAAATGCCTTGCGTAGTGGGAGGCACAACAACACAAAGAGAAGAGGTATTTTCCATCATCAATCTTGCACCACAGAGCTTTGTATAATGTCCTGGAAAACAGCTGTGGTGATAGCCAGTTTTGATAACATCGAATGTTATGTACCAGCCAGATTAACTCGGAAGTATAAGTGCAAATGCGGGAGTGGATTCTTTAAATTCTACTTCTTTTAGTACAAGAAAAAATATACTTGCACTAAAATACAACGTTGAGACTTGGCTATTGGGGAAGCCAGTAGAATGGTGGTGAGACGGCTCTGAAAAATGAATTCGGGGGCCTTTATGTTGTTGGACAGATTGGAGAAATTAATGTGCTCTCCGCAACCGCAGCATCCCTCCAGCCCCTTTTCTCGGCCCTGTCGCCTCCGTGTCGCGGGGCTTGAAAAGGTGCTTCAGTGAAGTTTGGGGGCGGGGGAGAGATGGGAGAAGGCCGAGTTCACCTCGAGGACACATTTTCTGTTCCATTAGGCGCATTTCAGTCTGGATGGCCGACCTCTCCAACCCTGTGACCTGACTTACTTTCTATGCGTGTACCTTCTGTGTTCAACCTCTTCGGTCCTCTCTTGGCCTCTGCTTTCTTTGTGGATTTTCCTGCGTTGCGCCTGTATAGAGGGGGCCTGTGGTGGGGTATCACTGCATGTGTTGATCCCTTTGTTATGGACGGTGATACCAGACAGCGTTGAACCCTCGGACAGTTCTCCTCTCTGCATCCAGAGTGCCTGCATTACTAAACCTGCGCCTTCTCTTCTCAATGATCAAGTTATTACACATAAATAATGTAAAATAATCTACAATCCATAGGCATATAAAAATATCACTTCAGATTATGTCTTGAAATGGCACAATTTGGATATATATTTTTGCTGTGGTGATGATTAGCGTTCTCTGAGGTCTCATAAAAAGGTGCGGCTATAAATAGTTTCTTTTGCTGTGATCATGTGACTTCTGTTCCCTGGATGGCTCTTGTGTCCAAAACTCAGCTGCCAATTATAGGCGTTTTTGACAGTACTAGGACAGTTGGTCATCGTGATTAGTTTATGAACAAGGACATTCAAGTTCTTTGCTTTTTTTTTTTGTTTTTTTATTCTCAAAAACACCTTGAAAACTTTCCAATGAGAACCCAAGTAATATATTAAAGTAAAAGAGAACAACTGCATTATACAAGTTACAATGATATATAAATATATATATATATATATATATNCAACAAAGGGACAAAGAGGATTAAATGCCCAAAAGTATCCTTAATTCCTCCCTGGTTTTGTAAGGAAATTGTAAATTCAAGCGATTCTTAATATTGGGATATTTTTTCATCAGTTCTAACAGTTTTGATAACTTGCCATTCCTTCTGTGGTACATTTGAAGATAAAAAAAAAGAAAAGAAAAGATGGTGTTCGACATTTGTGAATATTGATGGAAATATGCTGGACTGCATGTATTACAAAGGTAAACAGATGTCAATGAAAGCCAAACTTACATGTTTCTGTGTTAGTATCTGACCTTTCTTCCTCCCCACCATGTCTTGGAGGTTACAGGTGGAGCTCAAATTACATTCCGAACATCGGAAACATCATGCAGCTTTTGTTTGAGCTCTTCTTTTGAAAGATTAGAAAGCATTCTTAAGGCAAGTCTTAAACTAGTTTTTCAAAAGGACCAAGAACGGTGATGGTGATGAATTTGTTCAATATGAAAACAGTGACATTTTAAAGATACTTCAACAAATAATCACATAATATATAATTGTTATGATCATAATTTTAATAATCCTGTCAAAGATTCATCATCTTACTGAATATGAATACTTACAGACACCGTTATTTTTGTTAATTTCAAAATAAAAAAACTGGTATTTTTTTCCTTTTATTAAGACTGTTTCCACAAACATGTTATCAGTGCGGCCTAGAAACTTTAAACTTAGTCATGTTGAAGGGTACTATTAAATAAAAAAAAATCTAATCAAGGAAATGTTCTGTCTTTATTCTAAGAAGTGAAATATTATCGTGTAAACACAGCTTAGGACATTTCACGTTTAGGATTTCCTCTGTCTGAATTTGTTGTGATCTTGCAAATTCATGATTGTTTCCAGCCCGATGAGCGTGTAAGATTGTGATACGTTTTTGTGTCTTCGGAGTGCACTGTTTAAATTCCTGAGCAGTTACTCAGCTCCAATCGGTTTATTCTCTGACTTGAGACTGTTGAATCACATATGATTTTCAGCTCACATTGCACCGCTGCAGGCTCTCTGTGATTTATGGAGGACCTCTGGCGAGGCCTCTCTTTTTCCTCGCACCCTCCCTTTCTCTCGGAAGGTGTAAAAACTTTACACAAGGAGCCATCGAGATATTTAAACAAGAGCTAAACATAAACGGCCAGCTCTGATCTGATGCTCACCTGTGTTGTATCACTTGCAGTTAATGTCAAGTTGTCCAGTTACACATGTGTTTGTCCACTCGTCTCAGGTGAGTGGCCCCTTCAACCACTTAGGTTTGTGATGAAAGCTCGACGCATTGTTGTGTATGTGGTTTAACTGCAGCCCCGTAGCAGCTGTATAAAGGCAGAGAGTTGAAACAGAGGTCACGCTGCTATTTTCCAGGGACAGAAGAGAGGCTGCCTCACACTAACCATCAGTGGGTGTGTCATAAATCCGCCGAAAAACTCTGCGTTTACTCACGGGGAAACAAATGCACCAGCCTGTAGGCACGCATGTGCCTTTAGTGACTTTGCTAACTGCAGAGATGGATTGAATTACATAAAAATCGATTTTAAAAACTAATCAGAAATAGTCAAATGATAAATAGTCAAAACTTGCAAACATTTTCATGTGGACGAAACGGCTGACAGCCCAGGGCGCCCTTGATTCACAACTTTATTCAAACCAACAACCATAGAAAAAATAAAATACAAATAAATAATAAATGAATAAATAAACAAAGGTGTGCCTATCTGTTGTAACTCACCCGTTATGCAGTAGTTCAGTCTTAAGGTTGGTGCAAAGCATAAACATTATGATAAGGTATGGTTGACCAAAGGTTAGGAGTAAAGTAAAAGACAAATTCACGTTTTTTTCAAGCAATAATTGTTCGTTGTGTATTCCTTTAATTTCTAAACAATAGATAGATAGATAGATAGATAGATAGATAGATAGATAGATAGATAGATAGATAGATAGATAGATAGATAGATAGATAGATACATTGATCATCTATCTCTAGAGAGAGAGGAAGAGAGAGGGAGGGAGGGAGAGGGAGAGTCTGTAAAGGCACCACTACCAATGAAGTCTTCAGATCAAATAGGCTACTGTATAGGGAATGATGGCCTGGGTGAACTTACGAGGGTACTTTATGTCACCATAACACCTCAATGAGAAATATTTAATTAGCCTCGTTGCTGCATCGTTGAGGACCCCAGAAATTAAAGCTATTTCCTGCATAGAAGGTGTCACCGGGGGCCCAGACAATCACTAGACTGAATTATGGTTATGGTATTCACTTTTCATCAGCACAAGTGATCTGAATATGCGATCTAGGAGACTATAGATTCTCGATTATGTACAGGTTAAGTGATTTAATTTGTTTTATGACAATGATTTCTCTGCTGTGCCACCAGTTGCATCTGCTGCTCCACCGCTGAACCATATCATGTACGTGGCAACACACATAGGTACAGGTGCAACATTTTATATAGTTACGTGGTTAAGAGCATAAGCATTTAAATTGATTGCTAAATTAACAGTTTAATACATTTTAATTTGCATAAATATATTTAGCAAATGAAAACCTGAAATTGATTTTTTTTAACTGTGAGCAAAAATAGATGTGATAGAACAGCTTACGTAATGCATCCTGATACTAGTTTTCATTTAAGGGCTTCAATTATTGTTGAGTGCTTTAAAATTATGCAAATCAATCCCCAACAATCCTAACAGGATAAAGTAGCAAAACGCGTTTGAAATCAATTGTGTATGCAAGTGCATGCATTTCTGACAACGTTATCCGTTTTACAAAGTTAAATACAGTGAAATGAAAACTCAAACATCTTTCCTTGAAAAAGTCACACGTTTACTGTGGTGCCGAGATATGACTACCAAAAAAATAATACCCTGCGAATGTAAATTTTGCAAAAAGTGTAAGAAACAGGCGATATGCGTGTCTCCTCTCAAGTTATGAAGTGCAGTTTGCAAGCTCTGGTCCTTTCATTTCACTCTGCATTGTTTACAGCAACATAGGGCACCGGGCCCATAAATCTTCTCCTTGCTCTGCCAAGACAGCGCCATTTGTATGCACCGTTTTAACCGACAGCATCCTCTGCCCATTAACGTCTTCTCCCCAGCTCTCTTTCAGTCCCCTCTTATCTGCACAGCTCTGTCCCCTGGACATGCATTAACAGATCCGTGTTTTCCTAAAGCTCTGGGAAAAAACAATTATGCTTATTTGTCTTTATTGCAAACAATATCACATCGATGCATATTTTATTGAGAAGCAAAAAAAACAAAACAAAAACAATCTGCAGTGGCCAGATTTACCTCCTGCTTGTGCGCAGCCGCAGCAGGATACGAGTCTCTCCCTTTCTCTCTTAGAACGTTATTGGTATGAAAAATAAAAGTTTATCGACAATTTTCTCGCTTGTTTGTGTCAGCGGGCGAGGGAGCACAGAAGGTAAGGAGGAATTGTAAAAGGGTTGACACCCAAGAGCGACCGGCGCGCTTTTGTGTGTGAGAGAAAAATGATTTATAGCCGCTGAGGCGGTTCAAACAGAGTTCACGGAGAATTGTGGTGGAGGCGCGGAGGAGCTAAATTAATGTCTTGCTGAGCTAGTATATCATAGATTCTATCTCCAAATTCAGAGAGTGTGCGTTCAAGGGTACGAGGGAAAGAAAAACACAATGAATTTAATTACATTCCCCCTAATTTTAGCCAGTTCCGCACGTAACCTACCTAAATGATAATAATGATAATAAAAAAATGTGTGATATTGATAAAAATAATAACATACCACACATTTTTTACATTGGCATAACTTCGTTAACCAGAATTATTGTATTTTTGTTTATTTATTCATTTATTTATTGATGTATCTATAAATAAAGTAAATTGCATCATCCATTGATCCATTGTATAAGAAGACAGCATTATTTAAAAATTGAATGGTCACTTAACCATAGTTATATTAAATTAATGTCCATATGAAGTTGATCAAACAGTGGATATTTTTCTATGCTTCAACAATAACCGAGAAATAGAATAAAATATTTAATTCTTCATTGCTTCATGCACTTTGAAGTTGCAGGTAAACCCTACTAATAGTGGCAGCAGGGGTGACGCGTAAAAAATAAAAATAAAAAGCTGGAAGGCTCCTCACCTTCCCAGCTTTGCAGTCCTTAGAGCCTAATCCATCACCTCTGAGACATCTAAAAAGGGCTTTCTAGACAGCTTTGTTGCAGTGAAACACCAGCAGGAACTTAGGCTACATTTGAAGCTTGCTTCCACTAAGATTGATACGGCCTGAAAAGGTGCTGAGGCCCTTTAGAGTTTACTGGTTTAAATTTAGCGCGAAATGTAGATCAAGCGACTTTATTCATGCACAAGATTTTGCAGATGTTTATTTTTTTTGTTAAAGTAAAAAAAAAATCAAATGAGTGAGTTTTCTTTCCACTTTATAATTCCAAATTCTGCAGCTTTTGAATATAGATGATTACAGCCTCAAAATATTTAATTTTGCGTCTTAAAATTGAGTTGCTAATTCAATATTTTATTCAAACACATTTGCCTTGAGTTGGTCTTTGTTGCTGCAAGCAGGCGCGCGTTATATATATGTATATCTTCAAACTGTTCTTGCCATTTAACCGCGCAGTAAAAATGATTAAAAGTAAAATAACAAAATTAAAAATGTTAGCTCCTTCACGACAACTGAAACGGAATAGTGAAGCCGGAATAATGCAAATGAGTCATCCTCCAGGAAAAGGGAAAACCTTTGATGATTGCCTCCTTTGTCTTTGTGCAGCAATGACTGTCACAAGCCTTTTGTTTGACCACTCCCATTGAATCCTAATAAGCTGCACTTGCACTCGGACAGTTAGAAGCATATGTTATGAAAAAGAAAAGCCCGCCAATTCATAAAGGGAAGTTTTCATTTTCTTCCAGATTTGAAGAAAAATCTGAAA